CCACTTGTTCGTCAATTAAGTTGATCGGATCTTCTAACCGTATTGTATTATTTATTAATTTGATAGTAACATGAACCAATAAAAAAAAAATATTTGCTGCCTTTATTTTTCGACTGTTCTGTTTCATGTAAAGAAGTATTTAATATAGATCATGAAACAAAACCCTGATATTATACTTGTCCTTGTTGCAGGAAAAGGTTGGACTAGGTTCCACTGAATCTTCTGCGGAAACTGGGAGAGGGAAGAGTAAGATATCGAAGCATGTAACACATGGCTATCATACAGCCAAGGGGAAATCAGCTCATCCTATGGAGGATTATGTTTTCGCTGAATTTAAGCAGGTGGAAGATAATGAGCTTGGTCTGTTCGCTATATTTGATGGTCATGTGAGCCAAGATGTTCCTGATTATTTGAGATCTCATTTGTTTAACAACATATTGAAAGAGGTACTAAATGTTTGTTTGTATGGCTCAATAATATTCCGTTTACTGATGTTTTATGTCACGGTTATACTTCGGATTTATGCTAGAATAGTATTAGGCTTAATGAGCCATATTGATCTGTTGTGTATGCTAGGTATTCTTGAATATATTATGCTTGAAGGATATGAATTCATGTTATCTAGGTTAGACGGTTAGAACAGTTTATTGTTTGTGCTCAGCGCTTACTACTTCTTGGTACTGACTATATTTGTTTCAATTCTTTTTCCACATGACGTAAACAGCCTAATTTTTGGACTGAGACTGAGAATGCTGTAAGGAAAGCATATCGCATAACTGATAGTAAGATTTTGGAGAAATCTGCAGACTTGGGAAAAGGCGGTTCTACTGCTGTTACTGCCATTCTAATCAATTGTCAGAAGCTAGTGGTGGCGAACCTTGGGGACTCTAGGGCAGTCATTAGCCGGAATGGAAAGGCAAAGCAGCTATCTGTCGACCATGAACCAGATAGCGAAAGGAAAGATATTGAGGACAGGGGTGGTTTTGTCACCAAGTTCCCCGGTATGTCATTATATGTTGCATTTCTATTGTTCTAAGCATAGGTTGATCTATCACAAAGGTCCTCTTAGATGTTTATTCTACCTGTTGTTTAAGTTATTAATTGTTACAGTAAGAACATATTGTAAATTTGTTATCATGTGCTTATGTCTTGTTTAACGTAAACCATATATATGATTGCTTCAGGGGATGTGGCACGTGTTGATGGGCAACTTGCAGTGGCAAGAGCATTTGGTGACAAGACCATGAAAGACCATCTAAGCTCAGATCCACATATTACGGTTGAGATGATAGATGAAGATACAGACTTCGTACTCTTGGCTAGCGATGGAATTTGGCATGTTAGTCCTCGAGCTCTATTTCTAGTTCATATTATCCTCTTCAGTCCATACAATACTAGGCCATCTTTTCTTCTTTATTTCTTGGATAGGAATACGATTGTTAGGTTCATAATATTTTGGATTTACACTGATGTTTCTAATGATTTGTAGGTAATGAACAACCAAGAAGCAGTGGACTGCATTAAGAATGTGAAAGATGCTCGAGAAGCTGCAAAGGCTTTGATCGAGGAAGCTCTGCACAGGAAAAGCACCGATGACATTTCTGTAGTAGTAGTGAAATTCCAATGAACTTTTTCGACATTGTAAGTGTGAAAACTCACATTTGCTAAATGAATTGGATGGTTAATTTCTTGCCTGTTTTGTATTTTCTTGTTAGTTGATCAAAAGCTGTAAACATTAGTGATGTTTTGGAGCTTCTGTTTATGAACAATCACAACCCTCTTTTTGTTTTGCAATGGACTCGCGAGTGATTATGGAATATATCATAATTTCCATTTCATAGAAGAGTACGTAATACCTCCAAGCGAGGCTAATTTCTAATAAGTAATTGGTATTGGGAGGTATAGTCCATAGCCATTAAGTTCATACGTTCGGAAATGTGTGAGACATGCATCCTACATGAAAGGGAAATTTGTTTTTGGCATGGAAATTGAATAATTTTATTTTAAACCGTTTGATTTAATAATGATTTTGACGGTAAGTGGTAAAAAAACAATTCTAAGATTTATTTTATGGTAAAATAATTTTTTTTTTAAGTTTTAATTGTAAAAAAATAATTTCTGTGATAAAAGTCAAAATATCCTAAATCTCGGTGACAAGTTGATTCATAGGAGGGGTGTAAATGGGAAACTCCATGATCTAGTGTAATCCAATTTTGGATTGGATGAACTTCAAAAAATTTCCAATTTTGGATTGGATGAACTTCAAAAATTTTGGATTGGATTGGACTTGGAATCAAATTTTTCATAAGGAACTTGATTTGGAGTTGGCCTTTGGGAGTCCACATGGTCAATTAAGCCCAAATCTTTGAAAATTTGTTGTGCACATACTCTTGCTTAATTAGGAGATTTTGGTCTTCACTTAAAATATGTTCTACTTAGGGTCTATTCACATTTATTTAATTTCAGTTCAATTCAGTTCAGCTCCTAATTTTCCTCTCACATAAAATATTCATTTCAACTCAATTCAGTTTAATTCAGCTCCAATCAGTTTAATTCAATTCAGCTCCAATCTATAAATGTGAACAGACCCTTATGCTTAATTAATATTATTTTCTCTTACTCTTGCTCCTCCCCTCCCTCTTGTCCTCAAATTGACTCTCTTAATTTCATCTTGAATGTTTTGCAATATTAAGCAAGGTATGAACTTGTATACATCATTAATTCTGCTTATTCCCCCCCCCCCCTTTCTCCCGCTCGTCTTTTTTACTTACTACTAGTAGTATTCTTTTTTTTTTTTTTTAACTAGAATACATTTGTGTTAATAGATGAGATATACTACCTCCGTTAATTGTTATCTGCAACTTTGGGATATTATTTGTGAGATATAAAATATTCCAAAGTTGCAAATAACAATTAATGGAGGTAGTATCATTTTTAGAAAGAAAATCTTTTAAAGCAAGTAGGGTAGACCGGTAATAGTTATTCGAGAGGTTACTTCTATTTATAAATTTTAAGAGTATAGACTGAGGATTCATGTTAATTTGGAGCTACATCATTAACTTGCTATTTGCTACTGTAACAATTAACAAAGATGACTTATGTTGAGTCTTCGTGTATATGTAGTTTGTCTATTAGAATTGGAGCTATAATTTGTGAAGCAATTCTCATTAGTATTATTAAATATTGGATAATTTTATTTTATTTTTTTTAAATAAAGCTTACTGAGCTTGAAGGCTAAAATTATTAAAATGTCATTAAAAAAAGTTTGGACCAAATTAAACTAAATTTAGACTAGTGAATTTTTTTTTTTTTTTTTTTTTGGATGGGACTAGATTTTTATAAGTGAATAGTTCGATGGAACTTCAAATCAAATATCAAAGTCCTACAACGATAAGATTAAATTAGAACTTGAGAGGCTGAGAAGTTCAATTCAATCCAATCCATGTAATTTACGCCCGATTCATAAGGTGTACAAGTTGAGAAAGCCTCAACTTCGTAGCTCAACAACCTCGACTAGTCAAGCTTGAAGAAGTGCAAGTTAAACCGAGCAATCAAACTTCAACTCGACTCGTTATCACCCATCAAAATCCTAGTCACACAATGATGGGAGGAAGTAATGAAAAGTAAAAAAAAAAAAAAAAAAAAATTGTATGGATGACAACGGTGGTAAGAAAAAAAGTCATGAATGCGTTCAATTGAACAGTACTGCCTTCGTCAACCAATAGCATAAGAAAAAACTCTTTCCATTGGGAATAGGGATGTCAATATTAAGTGGATATCCACTAACCCGCTCCACCCGCAATAAATAAATGGATGAAAACCCGAATTAAATGGATGAAAAGCGGGTGACGGATGAAGCGGATGATGGATCGGATCGGATATGGATGATACTTTTTTCACCCGCTAATCATCCACCCACCCGTTTAACATATATTAATTTTTTAATCTAAGAATTTTAATAATAAAATCTGAAATGTGCAAGAAAATTATATGTATTTTTTTGTTGCAAATTAATTTTTCAAACTATATATTGTTATTGTTTCCTTTTTAATTAATAAAACTATTGTACAAATAACCGAAAAACTTTAATACTCATCCATTAGTCATCCGCTCCACCCGTTTCATCCGCGGATGATGGACGGATGGATATGGATGATGGGTGAAGCGGATGATGGATGGATGTGGATGGAGCGATTAGAATAATGAATGGATGCGGGTGAAGCTTCACCCGATCCAAATCTGATCCATTGCCATCTCTAATTGGGAATGATAGTTGCGCAAGAAAAGTGTACACTCACTTGTCAGCAAACAAACAAGCTATGCTAATTCATGGACCACACTTTGCTACATTAATTATTTAATAGGCTGATTTCTATGATTATAATATGTTTGGTTTTAAGGGGTAATGTTTCCATTTTATGCTAGAGATTATCCTTCAATTTTATCATATACTTGTTCCCATTTTCCCTCGCCAAAAACAAAAATTATCATCCATTTGATTGGCATGTGATGTACTTCGTACCATAATATAACTTCTTAAACCAAATCATTGTACTCTTGGAAGGAAGTGGAGACTATACACGATGATACGATATGTATGTGTGGATTGGTGTATCAGACAATAAGTGTTACACGACATACTGTATCATGGGTTACCTTCGAATGCAGAAACATACAGAGGCGAAGCCAAATTTGACTGAGGTGGGAGGCCGATCTAGGTCTAATATTCATTCATGATACTTCAATAATCGCGAGTAAGGTGAAGCACTAGTAAGGGCGAAACGCCACAGGGGTCATGGCCCTCTTACTCTCTTAGGCCTCAACTAAGCTTTGCCCGTGTGAATATATGAGGCGAAATTAATTATGTGACATTACATGTGGACAAATAAGTCCACACAACGTGTTCATGTGTGATTTATAGGTTTTAGACTTCGGTCCAGACCCTATTGTTGATCGGGAAATAAAAGAAGAAGAACGATGAGCAAAAGAAAAGCATTTGGTATTTCATACTATTCTAAACTTCTAATCAACGTAGCTAATAAGTAATTAATAGCGTAACCAAGGCCGGCTACCGGCGCTACAAATGCAACACATAAGTTATAGTTTACAGACAATTTGGTAATAATAATAATAATAATAATAATAATAATAATAATAATAATAATAGTGCATGCTAGATTAGAATAAGCTAAGCTAGCCTAAAAACATACACTTGTTGATCATAACATTAAAATTACACATAAACATTTATAATTAATTGTTCTACTAGCTAAGCTAGATGATCATAATGACAGAAGAGAGGGAGCAACTGAGGTTAATTTAATCAGATAATTAGCTTATCTGATCTGAAATTGTTTGTAAGATGAATTGCCGTTATTATTGTTATTCCCGGAGTAGGATATCTGAGCTTGATCCCCTGTCCTTAATTGTAGGTTTGACCCTTTACTCTGGCTTGAACTCGACCCGCCTTCTCCCTGAGATTCTGATGCGCTCTTACGACGCCTCTCGTTGTGCCCTGCTAGACGCCTCCGGCAGCTCCTCTTTGTGTCATCGAACTCAGATAGCTCATGAAACCTGGATGTTAGATGTATATGAAAATTTGAGAATATACATAGCAAGTAGGATGAAATTACGTTGAGTTGCAAATCATAAATTATTGTGACACCGACATTTTATATACTACTCGTACATTTTTTAGACAATTTAATCTCTATGTATAAAAGTAAAATAAATTAAAAGGTACGAGCCTTGATGAAAATCCACCATGATTATAAATAATTATAATATTCTGGTTTTCAAGCTCAAGATTACTAGTTTTTTTTTATACATAAACTCATAAAGGATAAAGTGTCTAAACGACTTAACTCATAAACTTCACATTCTATTTTCATGTAGCAAATTGACATGAAGGAGGACCAAATTCCACTTGGAAAATGAGTTGAAATTTGTCGGTTTCTAATAGAATAAAGTTTGTTGTGGAAAATAAAGGAGAGGATGTTTGACCATATACTTTGTAAATGGAGGACTCTAATGCCAGCCTAGACCAAATAGCGTTGACCTTATATTGTCTCTTTTTCTTTTTTTTTTTTGTTTTTTTTTTGTTTTTTGTTTGTATGGTAAGATTTCTATGGAATATTCTAAATTCTAGATTATTTGGAAGTTGTAGTTGAACATAAATACATAAATTAATTTATTAATCCTATGTCAAAATAATAAAATTAAATGATTAGAAATAGAAAATTATTGTCCTCAATGTATTCTACTTTCAATAAAATATGGGTAAATGTCCATCCTATGCCCTAGTTATTGTACATATGGACAAGTCCATTCTAGTTAAGACGAGTACGTACACATAGACAAGGATGTGAGGCGAAAATTAAAACTTGAAGAGTGGGATATTAATTGTACAAAAACCACTATAGTGATGATTCTATCATGTACGCTATTCTATTTATTATTATTATTATTATTATTATTATTATTATTATTATTATTTCTTTTTTTAAAATTTTTTTTTTTTGATGAGTTCATTAAATTAAATTGCAAGTCATTAGATGTAAAAAAGTATATTAAAGGTGTGTTTACTAATTAAATTAAAGTGTTATTAAGTGTTTGTGTCAAGTATATTTGGTATTGATGTATTATACTTTGGATTAAGTTTCTTATTAGCCCTTAATAAAAGGCTAAACATTTTTGTTATAAATATTCCATAACCACATAATCACATGTGAAAGCCTTTCACCCACAAAATAATAAGAGTAAGAAAAATTGGAATAAATGTAAACCATGCTAAATAAATTTAAATCAATTTCATACTTTCAAGAGTTTCAACATCATCAAACATACCTAAACAATATACCAAAAATCTCAAAATCGTCCTATAATTTCAAATCTCACAAACTACCCTTAAAATACTTTAGGCCACAAATTTGTGAAAATACTTTCTAAAATACCACTTATAGTATGTAGAAGAAACTAATTAAAGTACAAAATAATGTTAATTAACTAGCTATATATAACATGATAAATATCCCCTCCCCTATTCTAGTTCGTTAATATTAAGATCACAAAACGTACCAAAATTCAACATACCAAAAATGACATACATATAATACTAATAATATAATGATGCATATAGCATAATTTAAAGTAGTTAATCATATATATTACTCCCATCCAATAGTTTGTATTTTTTAATTTTTTTTTTTAAATGTAAGACCGTTATTAATCATCTGACTTGGAAGAACTTTTAGAGACAATAAGATTATATTATACCGTAGTTATGATGGAAATGGGAGTTACCTGCTACATTGCTGGCAGAAGCGTTGGCGGATGCCGGAAACAAGCACAGAAGGGGCCTTAGCATGGTGCTCACACACCTTATGACGGCGGTGATAGCGCTTCGCTTCGGTTAGATCCGCCGTGCACTTCTCAGCTTGACAACTTGTCACTCCACCACCAGCACCACCAGCACTGCCACCGCTATCGCCACTCGTAACTCTATTAGTACTGGTATTATTATTAGTACCTAATCTTTTTTGTTTCTTCTCTTCGGTAAAAGGAATAGTAATAGTTGTAGTAGTTGTATCTTCTTGTTGATCATCCGAGTTTTGATCATCATCAAAGTTGAGTGAGGTGGTGGTGGTGGGTGTTTTGGCCGATTTGTCTCGCATCATCATCATCATCATCCTTTTCGGAGTTGCGGCCGAGGCGGCGGGGGTTGTGTTTTGGGGTTTGTGGAAGTCCATGGAGGGTGTATGTGATGAAGATGGCAGGAGAAATGTGTTGGAGAGAGAATGTGGGAGGAGGAATGTGATAGTTTTTTATGTGATTTTTGGGAGGGGAAATAATAATTAAAAAAAATAATTAAAAAGTTAGGAAAAATAAATACTCCGTAATAGATAGAGAAAGAGATAAATAATAGATAGAGAGGATGAGGACCACAATTGGGTCATTTCCATTTTGCTAGGTTATGAGGGTGGCATACTTTGTGATCAAATAATAATCATGTAATTTAAAAGAGAGACACTACTTATTTCCATTGAATTAATTATGTTTCTATGGTGCCATGGATTGGAGGCATATGATATATTGTATTGATTTCTAGCATATGATATATTGTATTGATTTCTACTTAATTCAAAGGAAAGATTATGGTCAATTAGAAGGTTTAATTTTAACTTTACTATGAAGTGTTCTAATCTTCTGCTTTAGATTAATCATAACAGTTTGACTGACACGCATGTTAATGCACAGTTTTGACCATTAATTTGAAGCAGCTGTATGTAATGTGATATAAATTAAAATAAACTACTCATCATGTAAGTGTAGCGAAATTTCTTGTTTAATATGAACGATGTAATATGGAGATCTTAACCTCTAACAGAAGCTCGATGAAATATGGGTGGAAGATAATATATTGCAAGTACTAAATAGTAGTAGCTTAACTATAGAAATTATATCTATTATGCTTCATGTACTCCGTAATGTTTAATTACTCTTCAAAATAACACATACTTCTATTAATGGCAAGTATTCGAGATTTGATCTCACATACTACCTCCGATCCAGATTACTTATAACTTTGGGGTATTATTTGTGAGATATAAAATATTCTAAAATTGTGAATAATTTGGACCGGGGTAGTATTAAGAATAACATTTAAATCTATCTTAAAATTATACTCTAATAAGGATAATTAACTAGCTTTTTGAAAGAAATTTTAAAAAAGCTAGTTAATTACCCTTATTAGAGTATAATTTTACAAAGGATAATTAACTAGCTTTTTGAAAGAAATTAAAAAAAACTAGTTAATTACCCTTATTAGAGTATAATTTTACAAATACCAGTTTCAATTTTTTTTGAGCGACAAAACAATTTTTAAGTTCTAGAGACAAAAAGGTTAAAGTTAAGGTTATAATTGCAGCATACACATAATTATTCGTGATACAACGACCTTAGATAAGGTGATTGGCTGTCAAATCAGCTTATGTGTCACTTTTCACTTTGTGTTTTGATCTCCTTCTTTCCAAATTGTCTGAGTTTCACACAGTTTATGCTTAAAATGTGTTTATGTTTCTCTACAATAAGCAAATTTTATTCAACTAGTTCTGCCATTTATAGCCATTAGCCATATCAAATTCATACATAAAATGTTTTTCATTTCATGCTAATCTTATGACATACTGTATTTAGAGTCATTAAAATTACTATGAATTTATTATATTACATACATTCATGTTACGGAGTAGATGAGACTAACTATCTCTTTCAACATTTATATATACTCGTCATTTTAATTCTACAATTTTAAAATCATTACTCTGCAGCTTATTAAGCTTTTTTTAGCTAATGTTGCCAAATAGACCCATTCTAACTATATGGACAATAATAGCGTTATTTTGTTTAGAATTAATAACTATCTACTGCAGTTCCTTGTTCACTTTATAATACTTATTCAAGAAAACTTAGCTTAATTCTAACAAGATCAAGAAAAAAAAATATATACTTCGTGGTTAGTATAAGTATTAATAAGGGTTAGTGGCTATGTACTCAAGTTTAATTTACAACTAATATAAATTATACTATGTTGTAATAAGATCCATTAAGTTGAGAGAAGTTCTATCTCACATATAAGTTTAAATAAGTTTAAAGGTATTATTTGTGACTTGAATCAAAGAAAAATTGATTGCTTAAATTGCACATATCTATCAATCTAGAAATATTCGTGAGGTGATTCAAATTGGAGGTGGAATATTGTTTTAGGAGATTCAATGACAGGGCATAATCTTAATGACAAGGGCATGCATAAGCTCAATTTTTCATTGGAAAATAAATTAGGGTTTCTTATTTTATTTTTAAAAAAAAAATATCATCAGGTGTACAACAAGGTAGACATGTGAGAAGCTACCAAAGCCAATTTCAAGCTAGATGCTACTCCACTTTTGCGACAGAGATTTTTTTTTTTATCTTTTTCATTGCAGCTGTTCTTTTATCCTCCATGAAAGATAATAAGAAAATATTTGCAATACATATGAAGCGTATTGTAGGTCATGTTTATTGACTGAACCACTTACGCATTTATACTTTTTATTCATCTTATTTACCATATTTATATTTAATGTGGCGTTTGTGCTCCACACGAATCAAACACACTATGTAACTCAATCAATCCACCCTAATATCACTCCGCTAAATACATTAAATACACTGATGATTAGAACTCACCCTAACTTCATACATATGGAGTATGTTTTGCTATAGAAACGTACATATATGAAGTAATGAAGTAAACTACAAAAGGCAAAAGGTAAGCCAATATTTTAATTTATTTTCACTAACAAAGTGGATATAACAAAGTAATTACAACAGTAGATCTGATGAAGCTAAAGTGCTAAACTGCTAAACCGATGAGTTGATGAAGTATATACGGTGGGTTAGTTGGGCTTGTACTATAGATAACAAAGTTAGTACTCTTACAGTAAAAAAAAATTAAAAAAAAAATAATAAAAACTTACTGTATAAAAGTTAGTTTTCACTTTTTATTTGTTTTAAATTTAAATTCAATTTACCCCATGAATTGGGATGTATTACGCGTGGGTTTTGCTGCAAAAGCAATAATGATTGGTGACCCAATTTCTCAGTTTACGGGCTAACGGCCCACTCTAGGCTTCTTCTTGTTTGATTGGATGATTCCTTACTTTTACAGTTTTACTTCAGACACGTGATTTTCTTTAACTGTTTTTACTTTTTACCCTTTTTTTTAACTCTTCATTTGGCATCTAATCAACTTCACTGCATCACTATTATTTTCATTGTGAACTTTGAGTATATGTGAATGCTTCAATTGACATGCCATTGGATTTAGAATAAGAAGGATAAGAAGAACAATGTTTGTCCTTTGATTAAGAGTGCCTAAGAGTTGCAATTGATTCACATGTGTTAACCTTATCAGCACTTTAGTCTTGTTGTCGTTCTACATGTAGAGCTAGTTATGTGCATCCTTGGATTAAACATGTTATTGGCGCTTTTAATCATGTGATAAGTGTACCAAATAAGCAAAATTAATAAAAATAGGTTAAAAAAAAGAGGTACATCTGATAACAAGTAAGAATATATAAAGTCTTTTAGACTGTAATGATATTATAAGTTGATCAAATCAAGTATAACATCAAAATTAAGGAAAATTTGAAGTCAATGAATCCTTTGTACATTGCTATGGCGGACTTTTTAAAATGAATGAACAACATAGAAACTGTGAAGGAGTGAATGTGTATTCAAGAGTCCTTTAAATCTATGATGGTATTAGCTAGAAATGTCGAAGCAATGAACAAGAATAAACAGCACAAAACATGGCCTTGTATTCCCCCCGTCCCATAATATAGTTTTTGTTTGTGTTTTTTTATGGTATTTAAGAAATAGGTGGAGAAAGTGAAAGAATTACATTAATTAAAGTGAAAAGTATAATTATAGACAAAAGTTAGAGAGAGAAAATAGAAAAAAGTACAAGGCATGTGCAAAATCTAAGGGTAAATTAGGAAGTATAATGAATAAAGTTTAAAAAGTTAGTATATAATGATCTATACATACTATCCAAATATAGAACAGAAACAACATTTTGAATCTCCAAAATAAAAAAATAGGAACTATATTATGGGACGGAAGGAGTATTATCCCGGGGAATGAACAGACAAAGGGTATGCTGTGCGTGTAAAAGGGAATTGGATTTCTTGTTAGAAAGATGATGGATTAAAGGGGTTAAAGGCTAGGAAACATACCTATTTGGTAGGGTAAGGAAAAAGAAACCATTAACAGAATCTGACACCCAATGTAAAACTCTACAACCCTTAGTAAAGAACTTTACTTTCATGCGTATGTAGCACTTATGATATATGCATAAGATTAATTAATAACTAAAGAGTAAACAACCTTCCTCATAAAGTTCTATTCTCTCTCTATTTAAACTTATGGAGAAAAACATCAAATGGTTCATTGGTCTCAATTTACACAAATCATTATGCGGTCTCAACTAATTAACTTACCCGCTCTTAAATTCGGTCTAAGAGGCTTTTAGTAATTTCATTCTCATAAACTCGCATCGTATGATATTGTGATGATTGATGAACGTGTTTATTTCAAACAACTTACAAACAAATGAAAAATTCTATAAATTTCTGTTACACAGTACATCTATCTTCAATACAATGTTTATCGCACCTTGGATGGCAATTAATGGATCAACTATATTATAAGTACCATTCATAAAAATAATATGAGTATAGTACGTACCCTAACCTTTTGCTTCTGCTTAATGTATTGTTTTGTACACTCATCAATAAGATGAGCACCCAAATTGCTATTGCTATTGCTAGTACGTACTAGCTACCCTCATCTTCTTTCCTTTTCAATCTTTGGCTCCAGCAACCACCTAAAGTTGGATGTGTATGTCTCCTTTGTTGTCGTCATTTAGGTTATAGTTGTTTTTGCACAGTCAAACCATCTCGTGTTATATGTACGAGTATTCTTCTTTATGTCACATGTATCTCTTACACGACACATTTAATAGATGATAATTCACATATAAAATGATGTTAATTGGTTGTTTAAATTTTGGTTTTTTTTAAGGCGAGTCTTGTATTAGAATAAAAAAAAAACGAATAATTTGATATCAAAGTCATTTTTGGTCTTGTATCAAAATTAAAAACGAATAATTTGATATCACAGTCACTTTTGGTCTTGTATCAGAATTAAAAACGAATAATTTAATATCAAACTCGCTTTTTATCATACTTATCCACCAAATGAGCCAATTGCTAAGGTCATGAGATCGATGAGATACAAAAGTGAAGGGCGATGAAAGCTTAATAATAATGTAATCTTGACTAAACTAAGTCAACTTCCATTTTAAAAAAAAAAAAATCTCAAAAGAAATTATTTTTATACTTCTAAAGTCATTATTAATATAGTCCTAAATACATGTGTATCTTGTAGTCTTGTACGACCTCTTATAGTTAATTAACTAAAGCCTTTTTTAATAAAATGGGGAAGATGTAATGAA